GGGCGGCCTCCGGCGGGATCGCGCCCGGCCCGGGGCCCAGGGTCTGGTCTTGGGGGTAACTACCGCGTGGGCTGGGGGTGATTATTTTTTCTTGTTTTTACCTGCTGGGATCTGCCTTCCGCTGGAGTCCGGCGGGCTGAGGCGGCTCCCGGGCGTGACCCGGATGTCCTGCTGACCCTTCCCGGGTCACCCCGAGAGCGACTGTGGAAGCAGCACCTGACTCCTCGGGCGGCCAGGAGGCCAGGCTGGCGCTGCGGGGGTCTGCGCCGGCCCGGCAGCTGGAGCTGCCCACTGGCAGCGGCGTGGCCCCTGGAGCTCCCTGCGTCCCCGGTGACCTGAGACCGCCCACCCTGGCCTTCCGGCCGCCCACGGGGCCAGCGGGCGGCCGGAAAGGGAACTGTCGAGCGGCTGAGAAGCTGTGGGGCGGTGGCGGGAGCGACTCCGGCGCTCAGGCCTGCTGAGCGCCTCGTCCAGCCCACAGGCTTGCCGGGCCCGGCCCCAGCAGCGTGAGTGCAGGCTGGGACCCTCTCCCCACCTGGTGTCCCCGGCCTGCCTCAGAGCCCCGGGAGTCCAGCCCTGTTCCAGCCGTGGACAGGGCCGCACTGTCCTGGGGAGCCAGGCCGGGCCCAGGGACGGCCCCGGCTCCTGGAGAAATTTTCCTGGAAGCCAGAGGGAGCAGAGTCCGAGGCCGCGGGCGGACGCGGACGGGCAGGGACGGGAAGGAGCAGACGGACAGGCGGGTGGTCGTGGGCCCTAGGCTGCGCCCCGTACAGCCATACTTGGCAGGAGGCGCGAAGCCCTCGCCTGGGGCCCACCCTCCCGGTGGGGGACATCTGGTTGCCAGCTGCCCTCTGCCCTGGGGACCAGGACCAGGGAGGAAGGAGGCCGCCTGGGCCCGCTGCCAGCCGGTGGAGCGTCGGGTGGGCTGGCCAGGCCTGCAGGCGGCCAGAGCGGGCCTCCAGAGCTGGGGCCGGGGTGCAGAGAAAGCCGGGCCCCTTCTTTGGGCGGCATCAAAGTGGGCCCCAGGAGAGAGCTGGATCTGAGCAGGGTTGGGGTGTCTTGGGGTTCCTGTGCCTTATGCACCAGGAAGGGCAGCTCCAGCAGCCACACCCACAGTTCTGTAAACTCGCTGCAGGCCCTGGGAGACCCTGGGAGTCACCCCGCAGAGCGCCACGCCTGAGTGGGCCGTGGGGGCCCAGAGAGCCTCCCAAGGGGCAGGCGACACAGGGGACTCGTGGCCCTGCCCCCAACTCTTCACTCCTGTCTTTTCTGCTCAGCCCAGGCCCCGTGCCAGCCCCATTTGTCACCCCAGGCCACGTGGCCCTGCCCCTCCCCCACCGGAATGCACCCTGCAAAAGCCGTACCCCAGAACACCCCCGAGGCCACCGTGCCTCACTGGGTGTAGGGCTGTGCGCCTGCTGACTCTGGGTCTGACCCAGGGGCACGACCCCACGGCAGGTTTTGGGGTGCTGGGGTAGGCACCAGGGAGTCTTATCACGGTGGCCAGTCATCGCAGCCAGCATGGCGCCCAGCGCCCGCGTGCAGGCCGGGCAGGCGCCCCGAGACCTGCGGAGGCTGGCAGGCGGCCGCCCCCACCCGCTGCGCCAGCAGGGGCTTCCTGGGCCGGGCTCGGCTGTTTTGCGTGGAGAGCGACGTGTCCTCGGTGTGCAGAACTGGCTGGAATGGGGGAGCAAAAGACGGAACGGGCAACCACGGGTGCCCGCACCCCGAGGTGGGGCCTGCGTGTGCGCGTGAGCTGGCCGCCCGCCCCCGCCCGCCCCTGCCCGCGCGGGCAAATGTCCTTCGGAGGCCAGCGGGCTGCGGCTGCGGAGAAGCTCCGGGCCGGGCCGGGCACTCGGGCGCCTTTGAAGGACCAGGTCCCGGCTGGCCACCGCCGCCCTCCCTACCGGGGCTCCGGGGTCAGTTTTCCAGGCCGTGAGGCTGTTCCCCAGGCTGCTCAGGGCCGGGAGCCCGGCCGTGGCCTGAGGCCCTGCGGTGGCTCTGCTGGAGCTGGTGTCCAGGGCAGACGGGGAGCCATCGGGGAGGACGCAGAAGGCGCCCCGAGGCACGAGGGGTGGGAGGGGCTGCGTGCCCGTCGGGGCCGCGCAGACGGTCGGTCAGGGCAGGGAGTGGCCGTGGGGCCCAGCACCAGCCGGTGCCCGGAGCCCTATGGTGAGCGCGGGGCCGGCAGCCGGCCGTCCGGGCACCTGGAGCAGAGGGCGGAAGCTGCGCCGCGTCCTCCCGGCACCGGCCTCTGGCCCTCGCCAGAAACCGCTTCTGGGCTGGGCAGTTTGCAGCCTCCACTTCTGC